GCATGTCACATAACCTCCCTAAGCCTCAATTTCCTCTGCTATAAAATAAGGATAAAAGTACCTTAAATGGTGGTTGTGAAAATTAGAGACAATGTAAGTTGAGTACATAGTACAGTGCTTGGCACAGAATAGGTATTTGGTAACCCTCTCCCCACACGAGTTTTTAAAGTTTCTGTATTTACTTTAGGGCCCTTATTGTAAACAGTCATCCATCAGTATATGCAGGGGGTTAGTTCCAGGTTGTACCAAAATCTGTGCATACTCAAGTCCTGCAGTTGGCCCTGTGGAACCCGAATCTATGAGAAGTTGGGCCTCCCTATACATGGGTTTTCCTTCCTGAGAATACTAAAGATTTGGTTGAATACTTTGAGATTTGGTTGGAAAAAAATCCTTGCTTTTAAGTGGACCCAAGCTATTCAAATCCATATTGTTCAAGGGTCAACTGTATTTCACTTTGAAGGACTGGTCCTCAGCAAGTTCATCTTCTGAACTACTCACTGATGCTCACACTCAAGAAGACCATATCTTATTAAGTGGTTAGTTTAGAGGCTCTTTCCCATGCAGATTTGCAAGCGGAGTGTGTAAAAATCACACATTGCACTTGTTGCCTGGCAGCACGTGTCCCTGAGTGGTAGTACATGGCTTGCATTGTAATGTTATCAGTGCTGGGGCCAGCTGGCTAGACATGTACTGCCACATGGGCTAAGGACTCCATTCCTCAACAAAACAGCAGCCAGCACTAGGGTTAACAGAAAATGACAAACCAGGCATGGATGAGGGAGGCGCCAGCACAGCAGCGGGATATCCTTTGATTTGCTTCTGTTATTTGCATGTCTCTCTTGTGATGTCTGTGAAATGTTTAGAATGACAGAGTTTTTAAAAGACCTGCTGACTCCGCCTGAAAAATGTGAAAAACCTCCCGTTTAGAGACCTATTATGTCCAGCTAGCCTGCATTTTCTATATCTTTTTCTTTATTTTTTATTAATGCAAACATTTGCATGAAGACAGAACCTTTGTTTCTTAAAGAGTTCATCTGCTCCTGCTGCTTACTGGCCCTGCCACGCAAGCGCAAGAGCACAACAGAATCTTTGTTAGGCTTTCAGCAAAGCTGTTTATGAACGGTGGCTTACTGAAGACTGCTTCCTGTGCTGTGTGCTTCCATTTTGTCTAAAAAGAAAAAAGAAAATAGTTCTTAGGAGTGAAAAGAATTTGGACTTTCTTTTATTCAAGTCCTGGATGTTGAAATGACAAGTATCCCCCAAATTTGTGAGGAACTGGTAATTGCATCGAATGCATTTTTTCACTTTACCTTGAACATAATGAGGCTCTTAGTAACAATAGAAGGAACAAGTGCCTTCTCATTGGACTAGAGAGAAGGAACAGTAAAAAGACAACAGAAAGAGTGGTTGAGAACAGAACAAAAGTGGCTTCCAGTAAGAACCCTAACGTTGTAATAGAATGTGTTTTGGTATTTAGTGTTTCCCACCTGGGAGGCACAGTCCTAAAGTGGTTGAGTTGAATAAAGAACAGCATCACAGTTTATAAATAGTGGATACAGCTTGTATGTTCATTCAGTAAATATTTGAATGTCTACCATGTGGAAGACACTGAATGGTCCTGAGTGTTAAAGGAAATAAAATATAAATGAGTATGGTGCCTATCTTGAAGGATCAGGATATCCAACAAAGAAGATAACATATGTATAACAGAAATAACTATATATCAAGGTAGAAAGTGCCACTGGAAATATTTAAAATAGTTGTTTAGAGAGTTCAGGAAAAGGAACGATCACTTCTGGCTAGGACAGAATCAGGGAAAGGTTCACGAAGAAGGTGGCATTTGAGTTGGGCCTGGCAGGAAAGGTAGGTTTGAACATTGCAACATTCCTAAAAGTGATGAGTCAAAAATTTTGTTGGTCTAGTAAAACAGATCCAAAGTATGTTTTTATCGGGTACTTTGGTGGTGTTTTTATACCATTAATTTAGATGATATGTTAAGTGTTAGTATGAGTTTTCTGTGTAAACTAAACTGGGGCCTCTCTGTCTAGCCTATTCTGTTCCAACCCTTTGCCCTATATGGTTTTTGTGCACTTTGGCCTAGGCCTTTTTGTATCTGTAAATGTCTACAATAGCATCCTTTACTTTCATAACAAAAATAGAAACTCTAAGGGATTATTGAGCATTATTACAGCTATATCCCATAAACAGTATGCGGAGATAGTTCTTAGTGGGGATTTGACATGTGAGACTCTTATTTGAAAAAGAATCTCCACCTTGGTGCAGAGCCACATCAACCACAAGAGAGAGGATAGGGAATTCTAAGCCCGTGAGTTTTCAGTTACTTTAAATTAGAACTTTTCTGTATCTTTTTGTCATTAGAAAAAATGAGATCCTGTTACTGTTAGTTCAGTTGTTGTGAAAGCCAACTAATTTTTATGTAATATTTTTAATGTAAAACACCAAGCAAATGATTAAATTGTTGTATTAGTATCTTATTGCATTAATATCACTGATCTGTATATTCATAGTTAAATTGCATATTACCAATTAATATTAATCTGTACATTTAATAATAATTGATAAATACATGGTTTACCCCCAAAGGCTATACTCTTTTTTTGTTTTTTTTAAAGAGACAGGAGTCCTACTATGTTGGGCTTGAACTCCTGGGCTCAAGGGATCCTCCTGCCTCAGCCTCCTGAGTAACTGGGACCACAGGCATGCACCACCATGCCTGGCTGCAAGACTACAACTCGCGCTATGGCGCAATTAATTTTCACCTTGTAATTTTATTACTTCCCTGTTTGACAACGTTATGAGTGGCATATGATTTACTACATGTTTAGCAATTTATGGGATTTTGTTTTTTACCCATGATACTTTCTGGAAAATAGTTATGTGAATATTTATGGCGTTGACTTGATAGCTATACTGCTGTATGAGTAACTATTTTTGCAAAGTTATTGCCATGACAAATATTACTTAGGTTCTTCATATGTCCCTTAGATTGTAACTGTGGGAAAGTTAAGTGCTACTTTAGATTTCTCTGGTGTTCAGGACGTACATTTTGTTATGGTCAGCTAGCTGAGTGCTTTAAGTTTGAACTTCTATGAAAATCTCCTTGAAAAAAAAAAAAAGAGGCTGGGTGCGGTGGCTCACGCCTGTAATCCCAGCACTTTGGGAGGCCAGGGCAGGCAGATCACCTGAGGTCAAGAGTTCGAGATCAGTCTGGCCAACATGGTGAAACCCTGTCTCTACTAAAAGTACAAAAATTAGCCGAGCATGGTGGCGGGCGCTGTAATCCCAGCTACTCAGGAGGCTGAGGCAGGAGAATCACTTGAATCCTGGAGGCAGAGGTTGCAGTGAACCAAGATCGCGCCACTACACTCCAACCTGGGTGACAACAGCGAGACTCCGACTTAAAAAACAAACAACAGAAGATTCTGTAGTTTCTGGCACTTGAAATTGTAGGACTCCAACCTACAAATGCTGTATTATTATGAGATTTAGGCTGGAAATACTGAGGCAGTAGGATTTAAACACTTACCCTTAATTGACATCCCAAAACTATAAAAAACAAAACAAAACAAAAAAACAAAAAAAAAAAAACAGTTTTAGGAAGGAGAAGGGAGGAGGGGAGGATTAATGGTTGACCAGAGACTGTTTTGAATGTTAAGGCACTCAGCTTTGCACAGCTATTAACCAGTACAATACCCCTTTTGGCTGAGGGAAATAGACTTTAGTTTTTCATCCTCTACTTAACATAAAGATCTTTAGTCACCTCTTGTTTTCTGGTTGTCACAGGTGATGTTAGCATATGTGTAATGCTTTGTTTGCCTCTGGCGTGTCTTTTAGTATTTGAGTTTGACTAGCCGTATAGCAGCACTTCAGTGGTTTGGATGTATAGATGCAATGTATTGCTTTTGTCTGTTTTATAATTAACAATTATAAAATAAAAGATCGTTCCTTAATTTGCAAATTTGTTCTCAGAAAGTTCCGTTTGATACATGTCATACTGCATGGCTCTTTAAAGGTGGCAGTATCATGCAGTGCAGACTGGAATATAGGATAATAGGCTTATACACTTGGAGGAGAGAAGGCCTTTTTGAATAGGACAAATAGCACACCAAAAAAAGCCACAGATACATTATTTTGACTGTATCAACATTTAAAAGTTCTGTAAAATGAAAGATACCACAGACAAGTTAAAAGAAAACCATGAAGTAGATGTATGTATTTGTGACATGTATAGAATTATCTACAATTCAAGAAGAAGAAAAAAGACAACCAGAGAAGAAAATTGGCAAAGGATAAGAAATACAAATAAACATGAAAATGTGCTTAACTTTATTTGTAATCAAGAAAAGTAAAATTAAAACAACAGAGAAAAGCTATTTTCTAACTATTAAATTGGCAAAATTATAAAGCATTAGGCCAAGGATAGTGAAAATAGATACTCATATGACTGGTAGCGTGCAAATTGGAATAACTAATTTGTAAAAGCAATTGTCTATCTCTGGTAAACATGAAGATATCCTGTGCATCCTATGAAATGCGAATTCCATCTTGAGGTATTTACCTTAGAAAAACTCTTGCACATATGTACAGGGAAACACGTACAAGAGTGTTCAACCCAGCCCAGTTTATTATAGTGAAAACATGGAAACAACCTAAATGTTTATCAATAGGGAAATATTTACCATTGGGAACTATCAAAAGGGTAAGTAGGTTCCATTTTGTTTTATGAAAGATCTCCAGACATTGTTGAATTAAAAAAAAGATACATTGTTGAATAAAAAAAAAAGTATATATCGTACACTTAAAAACAACTTAAAGCATGAAAACAAAACAAGCTCACAAGCCGTATTTCTTTATTTTTGAAAATATGCACCCCAAACTGATAATAGTTGTTATCTGTGGGAACTGGAATTAGTCTTTAGCTTTGTCTGTATTGTTTAAACCTTTAAAAATTATTATGTTTAACTAGAAATAAACATTTTTTAAAATTTAAAGATCATACTAATACTTTGATTTACCAATTTAAGCTTCTTAATACTGTAAAGTATTAACAGTGAAGAGCCAGCAATTTCTAGATAATACAACGTAAGATGGGGCACATTGTAGGTTTTTGGATTTTTCTTGTTTTGCTTTCATTTTTGGTTTTGAGAGGTAGTGGGGTGAATGGAAGAATATGGGCTTTGGAGTCAAATCTAAGTTTGAATCCAAGCTCTGCCATTTATTTAGACTTTGGGCAGGTTTGTTAACCTCTCTAAGTTTTAAAAAAATGCTGTTACCTATGTTCGTTGGGTTGTGTAAGAATTACATGTGCTAGTTTTCCTCATTTCCCCCCTTCCCTTTGGTTAAGGGAAATTGGTCTAGTGTGGTCTAAGATCAAAGATGGTCTCGTATGGATGACAAAATGTTTCACAAGAACACACAATATCCTTGGACCAGGATATACCAGTAAAGATGGAGGATGTAAATAATTAATTTTAGAGGTCTATTAACTTTTTAAACCATTAAGCTATCTATTTGTACCTCACAAGATCAAATACTAGATTATGTTAGTGATTTATAAATGATATTGAACTTGAAACTTCTAAGTAGTTTACATGACAGGTTGTTGATTAACAGGTTTACTTTTTTTATCTTAGAGAGCATTTTAATTTAGTTCAGCAAACATTTATTTGTGCCATCCAGGATCTCAATCTCCAGAGGCCTCATAGACCAAAATATGTCTCAAAAGGAAGGGAGGAAAACTCTATGTATTTATCAATTTATTTATCAAACTCTGGCAAGGGAGGAAAAAGTTGAGTATATATATATATATACTCTGCTTTTCACTTGTACTGCTATTGCCTATGTGTGCATCTGTTAATATCATATATAGCAATTCATGTGAAGATTTTTTTCCAGTGAGACTTACTTATTCTAGTATTGGGACTCTGTATTAAATAATAATTTTTTAAAAAGAGTGCTCTAACTAATGTTAAGGTGGAAATTCTAGACCCCTCAAGCAAAAATTTCCAAATAGGACCCCTTATCATTTAATTGTGAAATAAACAACTAACACTTTGATGGTATTTATGCTTGGGAAGAGAGTAAAAAGAAATAGTTTTGGATTTTCCCCATATAAATTAGGGCCTGCCGAGTAATTAGCAGTTAATAAATGAATGCTTCCTACAAGTTTAAAGGCCATACCTGAAATGGGTATATGATGATGTATATTTTTATAGTTGTAGGTTTTATATATCCCAAGAATCTTTGAAGATAATCTGAACATCTTGGTTTGAAGAGCAGAACTTTCAATAAGGAGGTAAAGGGCTAATATTGTTTGAGCACTTACTATGTGGCAAGCACTATTCTAAGATGATTACACAGATTATTTTATTTAATCCTCACCACAGTCTTCTGTGGTAGGTACTAGTATTGCCCAATTTTATAGAAAAGGGCAGAGAGATAAGGTAATTATTATATAAAGTCACACAGTCAGTAAATGACAGAGCTAGAAATCAAATCCAGGTTCAGTTGGTCAAGAGCCCATGTTCTTAACCATTGCAGTAAAAATTATTATGCTGTTTTAATCTATAGAGTCAGCATATAGCAATATTAATATAATCATTGACATGTTACCTTTTGCATATATTGAATGTTTTCTAAAGAAGTAGTTTATTATCAGACATATTCTTAGAATCATACCCATTTTATAGCAGGATTGACAGTGTTATAAAGAGATTATGTGATCAACATGGGGTGAGTCAACAGAACCAAGAAGTTTCTGATCCACAGTTGCCTTCACTTGCTAGGTTCAAGTAAGGATCATATAGTGTTTACTTACATTTGCCATAGATTTTTCAGTATAGCATGATGAAATTCTAAATGCTTATTTCAGACAGTGATACTCTCTGAGCAAGACATGGACGATTGGGCATTAGAGTGAATTTTAGGACACTAGATCATAGGTACATGTTAGAAAACTTAATCCTCATCTTGTTATGGAACTCATGGCAAAGCCAAAGAGGAAAAGCCTGTCTTAAATGCTTTTCCTTTTCCAAGAGGGCAGCTAAGGTGCCCAGATATCTTTGCCCTCCAGGGATGCAGGTGTGCTGTTTTTATTCTTTAATCATTCACGTAAATTAAAGCCTATTCCTTTGCATTAAAAAAAAATGTAAAACGACACTCTCCATGTTTTATTGCCAGGAAAGAGCTTTGAACTTCTGTCTCATTGAAGTTTGATAAACTAAGGATTTTCCAGTGTTGGGTGGTACCCTTAACCACAGAGGGAACATTAGACTGATAAGAGCTGCAGGTGAAGGAAACCACCAGGGCACAGCAATTAGGGAGAGCTTTGCATTTGGCTGTTGGCTGGTGTAAAACTCTCTCCAGAGAGGAACTTTTCTTCTTAGCTTCTTCCCTTCACCCACACATAAAAAGAACACCAGGGCTTTCTGTTTCTACTTTGTGAACTAGGAATGAATGGGATGGTTCTTTTCAAGAAACTTTGAAATTAAGGGACAAGTTCTAACTTCACACCGTGCTGATTGGTATGAAGGTGAGGGGATAGGACAGATAGACATACACACACGTATAAATTCACATGGACCCAAATGGACCGTATCTCTCAGGTGATTTTACTATTAACATACATTCCTGCCTTTGTGCACTGTGTAAAATAAAGATAATTTTTAAAGTGTTAATGGTGAGGCAGTGTGTTGAGAGAATGGGTTTTTGGTATCAGGTAAACCTTGGTTCAAATCTTGGCTTCTCTTCCCACTAGCTGTGTAAATTATTTTAATTTTGTAAGTTTCAGTTCTTCCACTTGTAAAAATAGAAGTCTAAGAATAACTATTATAGTATTGTATTTGGAACAAATAGAATAAAGCATGTGAAACAATTAGTACAATACTGTGTCTGTCACATTGTTGTTTAATAAATTGTACAAGTACTCAAAAATGGTAGCTGTTATTATTTGTAATAGGAAACTAAATATCTGATTGGCAGATAAATGTTAAACATGCATGGTCCAATATATTTCTTTCTTTTCTTTTTTATATTTTTGGTATAAAGTCTATTTTCCAGAAAATTCCTCCTTTTTTTTTTTTTTCTTCTAGAAGGACAAAAGTACTTTGATTTTTACTGCTCTGAAAATATTTCTCCTGTAAAGGGCTTTCACATTAACTTTGAGTCCCTGGAGCTAGGGAGGAGGAGAAGCAGGATTTGCTTCTAAGTACAGCTCTTTCATTTCTACCATCAAAAAGAAAAAAAAAAAAAATCCTGTACTAGCCTTAGGTAGAGCTAAGTCATAAAAGGCCATATAGCCCAAGGAAGGAATCTTTTTGTAAGATCAGGATAAACCCATAGAAGAAAGGAAGGAGAACACAGAGGTGAAAATGCAGCTGATTTTAATGTTTCCCTGGCCATTTTTCCTTCCCAATTTAATATACACCTAATTATAATTATTATATTTTGAAAACAGTGTCAGAAATTGGCAGGTATTATCTTACAACTTCACTCTCAGTTTTGGCCATTTCTTAAAGAAACAGTTTTCTAGTTGGATGAACTGTTGAGTTGAGGAACTGATTTTGTTTTTACCCCTTTTTGGGTGGGGTTGGGGGTGGAGAGTCAGGGTTTGCAGTGACTGATAGTTGTTAGTTTGGGGAAGCACTCATTTAGATAAAACAAGTCACAGAATGTAAACAGGCCGTCCATCTGGACTTTAGGCTGCTGGGAACGTGGTGAAACCTTAGTCACTGTGATCATTATGATCAAGTGAAGACTCTTGAGCTCAGGTTGGCAGATAAACTTACTTGTTTTATGAGCTTCACTAGACTACTAGGACTTCAGAAATAGTTTTTTGAAACACCAGTATTTATAAATTTTAGGTAATTCCTTCATATTTTCCTGAGGAATGAAACTGTGAAAGAAGTAAATGTCTGCTTTGGCAGCAACTTCATGAAATTGCTTTTTGGAAGGATATTCATCACTTAGGGTTTTTTGTTCTCACTGCTCCAGATAAAAGTATTTTTCTGAATTTTTTACGATAAACGGGGACACTGAATTGGAAGCTTCCGTGTAAAGTTTGTCAGGATACCACTGTCATACCTAAGGACAAAATTCAGAGAAGGGGAAGAAGTATTTGAGTATCTGACATCTAAGAAGTTCTGGCCTATGTTGTTTACTGAAGTAAACTCCCAATAACGCCATTTGAGATAGGCTTTTAAGGAAACATTATCAATCACATACTATGCACCAAGCACATAGTGGTGTTTTACCTGTATTATCTTACTTATTTCTATAACCCTATAATGTAAGTACCATTATTACCCCCATTTCACCATGAAGAATAGGCTTGAAGAGTAATTTGTTTATGGTCACGTAGCTAGGAAGCGGCAGAGCTCAGAATGGAGCTCTCAACTCTCTATAGTCCAAAGCCCAAGTTCTTTTTTTTTTTTTTTTTTTTGGAGACGGAGTCTCGCTGTGTAGCCCAGGCTGGAGTGCAGTGGCCGGATCTCAGCTCACTGCAAGCTCCGCCTCCCGGGTTTACGCCATTCTCCTGCCTCAGCCTCCCGAGTAGCTGGGACTACAGGCGCCCGCCACCTCGCCTGGCTAGTTTTTTGTATTTTTTTAGTAGAGACGGGGTTTCACCGTGTTAGCCAAGATGGTCTCGATCTCCTGACCTCGTGATCCGCCCGTCTCGGCCTCAAAGCCCAAGTTCTTAACCAGTGATTCTTAAACTTAAGAGTACATAAGAAGAAGCACCAGGGGTACTTGTTAAAAATTACTGGGCTCTAGTAAGAAATTTAAGGTCACTAAATCTGGGACAGTGCCAGACTATAAAGCTGTATTTTAAACAGGGCATCCCAGGGGATTCAGATCAAGAAATTGATTGACCTTATTTTGAGAAACATAGTTAAATTATATTGCTTTCCACGCTTGATAAAGAAGAAAACAGGTGCAGGCTAAGTAACTATCCAAGATTAAGCTACCAAGACAGAGCCATGATTCAAACTCAGGTCTGTCTTACTCTAATACTCATAGTTTTTATTATACGCCCATGATTAACTCACACATTTCCAAGTCACAACAAATGCAGAAAACATGACATCTAATAAACCGAGCCAGACAGATTTCATGGTCTTGTTATTTACCAAAGTTAATAACTTACATACACACCAGTATTAAAATTTTCATGGTCCTTAAACTTTTTTTTTTTTTTTTTAATTAACTCAGTTTTCTTTTTTTTCTTTTTTGAGATGAAGTCTGACTCTGTCGCCCAGGCTGGAGTGCAATGGCATGATCTCGGCTCACTGCAACCTCCACCTCCCAGGTTCAAGCGATTCCCCTCCCACAGCTTCCTGAGTAGCTGGGATTACAGGCATATGCCACTGCGTCTGGCTAATTTTTGTATTAGTAGAGACAGGTTTTCACCATGTTGCCAAGCTGGTCTGGAACTCCTGACCTCAAGTGATCTGCCTGCCTCAGCCTCCCAAAGTGCTGGGATTACAGGCGTGAGCCACTGTGCCTGGCCAGAGTTTTCTTTACAATCATACCATCCATGCTTCAAGCATGGAATTACAAACTCCCTGGATAAGTTTCTGATGCAGAAGTGGAAAAGAATAGGAGGTAGAAAGAAAAGAACTTCCAGGTGTATCTGCTGAATGGTGCTAAATCTCCTCTTCAACCCACCCTTGTCATTGAAATGAAGAATAAAGGGTTGATGCTAATACTAACAGCCAGTCAAATGGCAATAGGTCATGTTCACATCATCTCTCAATCTATCCTTTGAGACTATAGCTCAGTTAGGGTCAGCAAGTTTGCTTTGCCTATTCCAGTCCACTGATGAAGTGTCATCAGACAGAGCCAACACTTGGATTGCCTTACATATGACCTCCTACTAGGATTGGGATCATTCTTTTTTTAATCTTTCTCTCATTTTCTCTTTCTCTCTTGCTATTTGATTACAGCTCAGCGACATGTCCTCACCTACATGGAGGATGCAGTGTGCCAGCTGCTAGAGAACAGGGAAGATATCAGCCAATATGGAATTGCCAGGTTCTTCACTGAATAGTAAGTACATGAATGTCGTACTAATACAGTCAACCCAGAGGAGGCGCTTGGAAGCAGGCAGGACACTTGAGGAACAGAGTGGGACAATGCTGATTATGTAGTGGCAGTGAATGTTTAGTTTTGGTAGGTTGGTTGTGGGCCGCCCAAACATGTTTTGGATCATGCCTTTGGTGCAGCTAGTTTTGTCCAGCGATGTCTCATAAATGGTTTTGATTACAGTAGCTTAACAACCGCTTGTTTGATCTATTAGATCTGTTTCTTTAGGTTCGTCTTTTAACTTTCTCCTTTATTCAAAATATTCACTTTGATTTCCTTTAGCTGGTGTTCATCTAGCCTGTTTTTTTCATGGCTGGCTTTTCTCATGGAATTGTTTAGGCTAATGCTCCTTGCAGTTTTCTTTCTACAGGATGCTGTGCCACTCACTTAATGATTTAAGAGTATTTCTAATCAGCACAATGAAGAGACAACCCACAGAATGGGAGAAAATATTTGCAAACTACCCATCTGACAAGGGATCAATAACCAGAATATATAAGGAGCTCAAACATCCCTATAGGAAAACATCCAATAATCCCATCAAAAAACGGACAAAAGATGTGCATAGACATTTCTCAAAACAAGACATACAAATGGCAAACAGGCATAAGCAAAAGTGCTCAACATCATTGATCATCAGAGAAATGAAAATCAAAACTACAATGAGATAACATCTCACCCCAGTTATAATGGCTTATATCCTAAAGACAGGCAATAACAAATGCTGGCGAGGATGTGGAGAAAGGGAACACTTCTACACTGTTGATGGAGATATAAATTAGTATAACCACTATGGAGAACAGTTTGGAGGTTCCTCAAAAAACTAGGAATAGGGCTGCCGTAAGATCCAGCAGTTCTGTTGCTGGGTATATAACTAAAAGAAAGGAAATTAGTATATCGAATAAATATCAGTACTCCTATGTTTGTTGCAGCACTGTTTAGAGTACTAAGATTTGGAAGCAATCTAAGTGTCCATTAACAGATGAATGGGTAAAGAAAATGTGGTACATATACACAATGGAGTATTATTCGGCCCTAAAAGAGAATGAGATCCTGTCATTTACAACAAAATGAATAGAACTGAAGATCATTATGTTAAGTGAAATAAACCAGACACAGAAAGACAAACATTGGATGTTCTCACTTATTTGTGGGATCTAAAAATCAAAACAATTAAACTCATGGACAAAGAGAATAGAAGGATGGTTACCAGAGGTTGGGAAGGGTAGCGGGGGGCTGGGGGAAGAGGTGGGGATGGTTGATGGGTACAAAAAAAAAAATAGAAAGAATGGATAAGACATGCTATTTGATAGCACAACAGGGTGACTATAGTCAGTGATAACTTAATTGTTCATTTTAAAATAACTCAAGGAGTTGGCCAGGTGCGGTGACTCATGCCTGTAATCCCAGCACTTTGGGAGGTCGAGGCGGGTGGATCATGAGGTCAGGAGATCGAGACCATCCTGGCTAACACAGTGAAACCCTGTATCTACTAAAAATACAAAAAATTAGCTGGGTGTGATGGTGGGCGCCTGTAGTCCCAGCTACTTGGGAGGCTCAGGCAGGAGAATGGCGTGAACCCGGGAGGTGCAGCTTGCAGTGAGCTGAGACCGCGCCACTGCACTCCAACCTGGGCGACAGAGTGAGACTCCGTCTCAAAAAAAAAAGAGTATATTTAGATTGTTTGTAACACAAAGGATAAATGCTTGATGGGGTGGATACTCTATTCTCCATGATGTAACTATTTAACATTGCATGTCTGTATCAAAACATCTCATGTGCCCCCAAAATATATACACCTACTATGCACCCATGAAAATTAGAACTTAAAAAATTTTTTAAAGAAATATTTCTAGAGGGAGGATATCTTTCATAGATTATATATTTGAAAGGTCATACTTAGGCCAGGCGAGGTGGCTCACGCCTGTAATCCCAACACTTTGGCAGGCTTAGGAGGGCAGATCATGAGGTCAGGAGTAGGAGACCAGCCTGACCAACATGGTGAAACCCCATCTGTACTAAAAATACAAAAATCAGCTGGGCATGGTGGCACGCACCTGTAATCCCAGCTACTTGGGAGGCTGAGGCAGGAGAATCTCTTGAACCCGGTAGGCAGAGGTAGCAGTGAGCCAAGATGGTGCCACTGTACTCCAGCCTGGCCGACAGGGAGACACTCTGTCTCAAAAAAAAAAGAAGGTCATACTTCTTTGTAAAGTATGCTTAGAATGTATAAAAGTCAAAATGATTACTACCTTTTTTATTTTTTTGAGATAGAATTTTACTCTGTTGTTCAGGCTGGAGTGCAGTGGCATCATCATGGCTCATTGTATCCTTGAACTCCTGGGCTCAAGGAATTCTTCTGCCTCAGCCTCCCTAGTAGCCGGGCCTACAGGTATGTGCTGTCATGCCCAGCTAATTTTAAAGTTTTTCTTTTGTAGAGACAGTGTTTCAGTATGTTGACCAGGCTGGTTTTGAACTCCAGGACTCAAGTAATCCTCTCGCCTTGGCCTCTTGAAGTGTTGGGATTGTAGCCATGAGCCACCATGCCCAACTGATTACCACTTTTTGAATATCACAGAACTGTTTTTAGGCTGAATGAGATAAACACTTTAAAAATACATTAATCTTCTTTTTTTCCAACTTTTATTTTAGATACAGGGAATACATGTGCAGGTTTGTTACATGGGTACATTGCACCCAGGTAGTGAGCATAGTACCCAATAGATAGTTTTTGACCCATTACCCCCCTCCCTCCTTCCCTCTAGCAGTCCACAGTGTCTGTTGCTCCCATGTTCATGTCCGTGAATGCTCAATGTTTAGCTCCCACTTATAAGTGAGAACATGTGGTATTTGGTTTTCTGTTCCTACATTAATTCACTTAGGATTATGGCCTCTAGCTCCATCCATGTTGCTGCAAAGGACATGATTTCATTCTTTTTTTTATGTCTGCATAGTACTCCATGGTATATATGTACCATATTTTCTTTATCCAATTAACCTTGATGGGCACCTAGGTTGACTCCATGTCTTTGCTATTGTGAATAGTGCAGCAATAAATGTATGAGTTCGTGGGGAGAATGATGTATTTTCCTTTGGCATACCCACTAATGAATGGGATTGCTGAGTCTAATGGTAGCTCTGTTTTAAGTTCTCTGAGAAATCTCCAAACTGATTTCCACAGTAGCTGAACTAATTTACATTCCCACCAACAGTGTGTAAGCATCCTCTTCTCTTAGCAGCCTTGCCAGCATCTGTTTTTTTTTTTTTCCCCTGACTTTTTAATAATAGTCATTCTGACTGGCATGAGATGGTATCTCATTGTGGTTTTGATTTGCATTTCTCTGATGATGAGTGCTAATGTCTCTGATGATGAGTGATAATGAGCATTTTTTCATATGTTTCTTGGCCACTTATATATCGTCTTTTGAGAAAGTGTCTGTTCATGTCCTTTGACCATTTTAAAATGGGGTTATTTGATTGTTGCTTCTTGATTTAAGTCCCTTACAGATTCTGGATATTAGACCTTTGTTGGATGCATAATTTGTAAATGTTTTTTCCCATTCTGTAGGTTGTCTATTGATAGCTACTTTTGCTGTGCAGAAGCTTTTTAGTTTAATTAGGTCCCACTTGTCAATTTTTGTTTTTGTTGCAATTGCTTTTGGGGACTTTGCCAAGAATTATTTGCCAAGGCTGATGTTGAGAAGGATATTTCCTAGGTTTTCTGCTAGGATTTTTATAGTTTGAGGTCTTACATTTAAATCTTTAATCTATCTTGAGTTAATTTTTGTATATAGTGAAAGGTAAGGGCCCAGTGTCATTCTTCTGCATATGGCTCACCAGTTATCCCAGCACCATTTATTAAACAGCGAGTCCTTTCCCCATTGCTTGTTTTTGTCAGCCTTGTCAAAGATAAGATTGTTTTAAGTGTATACTTTATTTTTGAGTATTCTATTCTTTCCATTGGTCTACGTGTCTGTTTTTGTACAGTACCGTGCAAAACATAATCTTCATGAAAGGATGTGCTAGATAAATACAAAGCATTATTTTTATTACCAACATGCCGTCACATATTTATATAATCATTTGGATTCTCTTTCCTTTTCCTCTGGTTTATTGGGAACATTCTAAGAAAGGAATAATAATCCTTATAGGCTTCTGTTTAAGTGAATCTTGAACTCAAGTTCATCTTCCTTGAACGTAGATTTTTTTTTTCCTTTCTGTTCTCCAGAGGCTCCTTGGAGATCAGACAGCTATTCAAATGGCCTCAACTTGGGTTGCTGTTAGGGGAATACTTGAGATTCCCTAGCTCTTTTGCTGAACTCTAAAGTTCTTATCAATGAAATCTAGATTTTTTATGGATTGGCATTTTAGGTTCCTTGGAAAAAGAAGCTTTCTGGGAGTAAAGTTGTTCCTTTCACCCAGTCTTCTAAAGGAGGATGAAGTAGAGAAAGGAATTTTACTTGTTCTCGTGATGCGGGCTGGAGCAAATGAGGTAGGCAGGGAATAAAGACTGAGATTGAATAGCCTTGCTTGCTTTTATAGAATTGACAAGCGAACTGACAAGCCTACAGGTCAAGTTTCTAGGCCATTTAATCTGTACCAGCACTCTTGAGGCTCCTTGCCAAGTGAAATATGACTCTTCTGGGGGTAATGCTTCTTTCTGGCTTTTTTCATTTTACTCCCCTCCCCATCTCTGTTATCAGTCTTTTCCCTATTACACTGGTTCCTTGAAGGTAGGCTTTTTTTTTTTTTTTTTTT